TCCTTAGCAGTTTTATGACAAAAAAGTAGGCAAAAATATCACACTAAGTAAAATTTCTTCCTGATGTAATCACTCCTTTCGTCTTACTCCATACAGTTGTTTTAGGTGGTTTTTCCAGTTATAAAAATGCCTTGTTTCACTATTACTTGTAATTTCTCTCTTTAATTTCTTCATGAAAGCCCTTTTACTGGATAGATTTTTGTTTTATTTAAGGGTCAACCTGATAAGAGAAAAGAGAGTGGTATTTTATTTCACCATCAGCCTACTGTTTTCTATAGAGACTATTTCAGTTGAATGCATATGGTTCTACTGGGCATGTTTCCCATATAATAACTTACTAAAATGACTGGAGAATAAAAATTGGGGTTTACTTTTGCCCTATCCAAAAGATTTCAGTGTGAATTTCTTTTGCTGTCTTTTGTTTGTTAAAACTTCATTTTGGATTACTCTGCAAATCTGATACTATTTTATCAGTTCTGGAGTTGTGTTGTCCTTAGGAATCGTTTATGACTCTGAATTGCAAGTTAACAAACAAAAACCACCACCACCACCATGAACAACAAAAAACAATGAAGGGCAGGGTGTAATTTTTATTAATGCAATAAAGAGCTCTGAAGTTGCAAAGGATCTTAGAGATTATTTGAGATTATTCAAGTCGAGCCAGATGAAGAAACTGAGCTCCAGAGTGGGCAGCTGGCCTGCTAAAAGCCACACAGTTAGATGAGGTCATAGCCAGAGTTAGAACTGAAGACTTTGACTCTCTAATGTTCTTTCCGTTATACCATAAGGTTCCTGTTCTAAAAATGTATGTTCCATGAAGGAGGTGCTACTTTTCATACATGCCTTGGGAAATTTTTAACATTACTGTCATTCTCCACTCTTAAATCTGTTTGTGTAATTTTGACTTTTTTTCCTAAATATCTGCAGTTCAGACATTTTCCATAACGAGCACATAGTTGAAGGTCAGAGTGAATGGTAATAATAGTTGACATTTATTGAGCAACTCCTGTCTATCAGGAAGTGATAATAAGCACTTTTACATACATCTCTAATCTTCCCACAACATTACAGAGTAGGTGGTGGTATCACCATCTACAGATGAAGAAATTCAGGCCTAGAGAGGTTAAGTAACTGGCTCTAGATTATACAGCTAATCGATAACAGAGCTCAGATTCAACCCAAGATTGCCTGTTTCTGAAGCCCGTCCTCTGGAACTGGGTCTTAAGAGTTTCATCAGAAAAATGAATTGTTTGGAGATGCTAATCTGCACTAGACTCGCTAGTCAAAAAAATTTTTAAATTGCTTAAATGGTTGTGTTACCATAATGTAGCTCATCAACTGATAGCTGAACCAAGACTAGACTGAGTTCTTGCTATTTTAAAATTTAAGCTTTTGCAATCTTTCTATTTTATTTTCTTGGTTCTGGAACTAATTTGAAAGCCAGAAATAAGTTGATAAGATATGCAATTGGCAAACTGATTAGTTACATATAAATATAAAGGTATATTTTAAATCAATACACAGAATGGTATGAGGGTACCAATGAATAGAGACGTGAGGTCATCACCTAACAAAAATCCTATGAATTTAGTTGATGGATGTCCTAAAATAAGCAAAGGGACTCTTTCTTTGTACTGTTTTTTTTTTTTTGTAAATCCTTCACTGTTGAAGGTTTATTTGGGTACCTCTTGATTCTGTGAACCACAGAAGGAATTGGAACTCTGAAAATCAGTTCATGATCTAAGTAAATATTCTCTTAGGTTGAGTGTTACATACTCCATGCCCCTGACAGAAAGGCAAAGTCATCCTAGAACAATGATGGAACTAAAATATGAACATTTTACAGTTTTCCTCCTCATATGATGTTTCCATAAGCACAAGAACCACAGCTGATTATATATAGCTCCTTAAGTCTCATCACCTCTTGTGAGTTCTCAGTGCCTGAGAGTTTTTATTAACCAGAGGCTGTATAGCTAATAGAAATATTGAAATCGGATCATGTTTAGGAATGTATCATTTGAAACTAACCTGGGCTGCCCAAAGACAACTGCTTGAAAAGCTCACTTAAATGTATATCATGATGCAGAAATAAATACCCAAACAAAACCTAACTGAAATGGAGAAAATGCAGCCTGTAGATACTAAAACTTGGCAGGACATTAGACTGCAAATGATTCGCCCTTAACCTGCACAAATAGTTTTATCGCCTGGGCAATCTTAAAGTCCCTGTTGTAATTTCCTGATAGAATCGCAAGTCTACTGCCACAAAAAATACCCCGTCCCCTTTTCCCGTGAGCAGAGAAGCACGGAGGCAAAGAGCAGCCACTTCCTGGGGAAAGCAGTGAATCTCTCCCAGCGCCAGGTGTGGACCACGAAGCTTTCTCCTGGAGGAGGGCGTCTCTCCTTCGGCTTGAATCGCCTTATGGCAGGAGCTAGAGCGCAGCAGAAAGTACTCAAAAAGGAAAGTGCTGGGGCGGGCGTGGAAGACATAACCCAGCTTCAAGCTATCTGCACAATTATAATGTCCAGGAACCCGGCACTCTGTTTTCCCCCAAAAGGGCAAAGAAGGAAAAAAGCTACCAGCAACACGAGCTGTAACGCGCAGAGGATAGGTGTGGGCAGAGCTTTTGAGGGTCGCGCTGGCTGGAGATTTCTGCAGACAAACGACCTTCCCGATTCTCACTCCGGCCACCTCGGGCGGCCCGGATTCCCGGTGTCCAGTGGGCACCTCCCGCCCACTTTGCCGTGCAGGCGGTCAGCGGGCCGGGCACCGGTCCGCACCCTTTACCTGCAACCAACTCGCTCTCCTCACTTACCGCGGGCGCCGGGGTCCCTGGCCGACGCTGTCGCCGAGGTCGCGGGGGCGCTCGCTGGGCTGGGCGCACGGGTAGGCGGGAAGCCACGGTCGCACCCGGAGCAAGCAGCCCTCTGCAGAGAACGCAGCCCCGCGGCGCCCCCTCCCCCAGAGGGCGGGGACAGACAGCCGGCTGCACCAATACGCGCGGAGGGTGCGGGCGCGGGACGGGGCCGGGCTAGGGGTGGTGGGCGCGGGGGAGGGTGAGGGGGTGATCGGGAGGTCTTTGCGAGAGCAGTTCGCCCAGCCAGGGGCGCTCCCACCCTGGCGCGAATCCCCGGCGCGCGACCACATCGGGGGCCACCGAGAAAGAGAGGGCTGGCAGATGGGGAGGGGACCAGGGTCATAAGCCTCCCATTTTCTCAGACGCAAAGTAGCAAAATCCAATTTTAAATTGTAGGCACTCCCATTATAAATCGCCCCACTGAATATTTAAGTCACAGCAGCTATCACATTTTAAAAGTAGGATTCAAAACTGTGCAGAATGAATCTCGTTTGGCAAGAAAATTACATGAACTGAGAGAGAAAAACCTCATTACACCCAAACTCACTCCTGGAAAAGTTTTGGTTATCAAAGGGTTCATTGCCAAATCCTCTCAGAGGCCCAAGACACAAACCTGTGTCTTCATAAGTATCTAGAAGGCAGGCAGAGATGATGCAACCTGTGTGCCATCGAGGTCAGAACACAGGAACCCAGCCCCATCCATCCTTTATACCTTATATATATTTCCAAGAATAAGTAGCTTACAAGTTATCCATGTTTCCCTTCAGGATATTCCTAGGTGCCTGCTTAACGCTGTTCCTCTAAAGCGGGGCGTGGAGAATAGGAGACAGCTTTCCTCACAATTCCAGTCCTGATCAGAGCAAAGGGCACAGGCAATATCTACCCTCCTGCCTGACTAGGTAGGCTATGTATTTTCACACATTTTGAGTCTTTAAACAAGTTCCTAGCCTTAGTGAAAAGCACCATACGCATTTATTTGTACACATAATCCATTGTGTACAATGCATTAACACTAATGAAAGGTGTTACAATGAGAGTGGGCTTAATGTTACCTACAACGGCATTCCTGGGAGCTCCAGACGTGAGGTCCCGTGGGATGCACAATTCCTGCCTTCTCCTCTGGCCCCTCCCAGGCAGATGAAGAACCTATTAAGATGGAGGGAAGAACTACTGAAAAGTAGTTGTACTTAACTCTCTTCCTCAATAGGATCATGATCTTTGAGAGTAAACCTCAGTTACCCATTTTTGGATGTTTTTCCAGGAATATATTTTACCTCTGTAAGTTTCTATAGCTTCCACTGAAACTTATTAAGCAAAGAACTATTAGGACACAACAGCAAAGCTGAATCTAAGCTGTCAAGATCTTAGAGACAAGAGCTGTAAAACAGGAAAATCCATAAGCATCTAATTTATAGTAGTTATAATTAAGAATTCAATTTATCTTTGTTCATTCATTGAATACCAGTCTGTGAAGATGTTTTATATCCCCAGATGAGTTACTAACCCTGCTTACTGTCAGTTTTGAACTTTAAACAAGCCAAAAGAAATCCATGCCACTCATAACCAACTGAGATGCAATTACTTACTGAGATGCAGGTTTTCTCAAGTCTAGCAGATCTGGGAGTTTGCAACAGTTTCAGGCAAAAATAAGATGAGCTTATCTAGATGAAGACAGGGTAGAATAGCTGTCTTATTAGGAAGTAACTGGAAATGAAATCAGCGATAGGTTAAAAGCAATAAAGGCTATCTTAAGGACTTGTAAGATCTTATCCCACTTGCTTTTCTTAAAAAAAACCCGACTCCTGAAAGGGAGCTGAAGAGTGGTTTGAGGTAAGAGGTGAATTGATTTTGTATTTGAAGGGCAGATTTCTGTAAGGTGTATTACATATAACTCATCTCCAACCTCCAACACACACACTCACAGAGTACAGAACTATAAATAAAATACTGTGCTGTCGTTTTTCTTTAGAATATAACTAGAACCCG